TCTCGACTGGGGTAGTGGCAAATGCTACTATTACTAGTCTTAGCCCTTGGTGATGGATAGTGTTCAACTCTTTGATATATGATTTCCTTGTCGATCCATAAACGAAACAGTAATAATCCAGTTTGGATCTCATTAGTGTTCGATAGAGTTTCAAGTGTTTTTTTATCAGCTCCCCAGTTTGTATGAGCTATGACTCTCAGTAGTTGGATAGATTTGTTACACTTTTTCCTCAGCTACTTAATATGGGGTATGGAAGTGAGGTTTTGGTCAAAGATAATACTGAGGTATTTATATTGTTTAACCCCAGTTATTGTGTCTTACCAAGCTTCAGTATAGGATCATTATGCATTTTACGATGTTGGCAAAATGCATGTACTTGGTTTCTCTTTAGAAAAACTAAATCCATTATTTGTAGCCCACTTATTAATTTTGTTTAGGCTTAGTTGCAGTTGCCTTTCAATTGTGCGCATATATTTTGCCCTATAGCATATCATTAGATTGTCTACATATATGGCACATTCTGTTCCAGTATTAATGTTTTTAATTATGTTGTTAATCTTTATATTAAAAAGTGTTACAGAGAGTATACTGCCTTGTGGCACTCCCATTTCTTGTTCTTTCCAAGCTGAAAGAGTATCTCCAAATTTTACCCTGAATTTTCTATCACTCATAAAATTTTTTATCAGTATTGGCATTCTGCCCTTCAGTCCCATTTCCTTCAAGTCTTTCATTATCCCATATTTCCTTGTTGTATCATATGCCTTTTCCAGATCAAAAAACACTGATATGATGTGTTCTTTTTTGGATGAAAGCTTCTCGTATGTATGTTTCTAATTTTACTATGTGGTCAATAGCGCTCCTCTTGTTTCTGAAGCCTGCCTGATGTTCTGTGATCAGTTTGTTTGTTTCAGATACCACACCATTTTTTTCACCATTCTTTCAAAAGACTTACATACACAGCTGGTGAGTGCAATTAGGGCAGTAGTTCATTGGATCCGTAGGGTTTTTGGAAGGTTTGGGCATAGGAATTATTGTGGCCTGTTTCTATATATTTGAGATTTTTCCAGTAGTCCAGATATCAATATAGATTTTGAGTAGGTATTTTTTGGTCCTTTAGGCAATTACTTTAGGAATTTGTAATGAATTTCACTGGGACCAACAGCTGTGTTATGTGCTTTTTTTAAAGCGTCTTGTAATTCTGTTAACGTGAATGGTTGGTTATAGGTTTCAGAGTTATCTGAATGAAAATTGATTTCTTTTTTCTCCTCGCACTTTTTGATTGTTTGGAATTCTTTTTTTTGAGGATTGTTTGAGGAGGAGTTTTTAACAAAGTTCTCAGCTAGGTGTTCAGCTATGTCTTTTTTTTATTTGTAATTCTGGTGCCCTTGTGGGTGATATGTTGGTAAGGTTGTCTGTTGTTTTTCCCTAAAATTTTTCTAATCATGCCCCATACTTTTTTAGATTTAGTGTCTGAATTCATTTTACTAACATATTGCTGCCATGATGATTGTTTAGCCTCTTTAATGGTCCTGCGTGCCTTAGCTCTATCATTTTTATAGACATCTAAATTTTCTTTGGTTGGACGATTTTTAAATTTCCTAAGGGATGCTCGTCTGGCTCTTACAGCTACTTTGCATTGTGTGTTAAACCAGGGCTTATTGAATTTAGAAGAGGGTAAACTTTTGGGAATATTTTGTTCTGCCATTGTTTGTAATGTGTTTGTAAAGTATGTGATATCATCCTCTTTGTTTATATTTGCTTCTGGTGTCAATTTTCCTTGACATACATTTTGGAAACCTTGCCAGTCTGCTTTTGAATATTCCATCCAGGTGTTTTATTGTCCCTTTCTGGATCCTGGCCATCTAATATGATAGGGAAGTGGTCACTTCCACAGGTCTCATCATGTACTCTCCAGTGATAATTCATGTAAATGCTGGGATCACATATTGTTAAGTCAATGGCTGATAATGTTCCAGTTGCTGGGTGCAGATATGTATTAGCCCCGTTGTTATAAAGGCATAAATTGGTTCTGATCTAAAAATTCTTCTATTATTTTTCCTCTTCTGTTTATATCCTTATTGCTGCACATTTCACTGTGACTATTAAAATCCCCCATCAGTATGAAGGGTTTAGGTAATTGTCAAATCAGTTCATTCAGATCTCTCTTGTCCAGTGTATCATTTGGAGGTAGGTATAGTGAGCAGAAAGTCACTGTTTTTTGTAGTGTTACTAATACTGCAATTGCTTGCAGTTTTGTCTTTAATTTGATTTCGCTTTGAGTGATGTTGTTATTAACTATAATTGATGAGCCACCTGAGGCTCTATCTCTTTGATCATTTATGTATTTGTATGATGTACATTTTTTAATGTGAAGTGAGTCTTTTGATTTTTGATGCGTTTCCTGTAAACATATGACTGCTGGGCAGAAAATGGCAATGAGAAGCATCAATTCGCGATGGTTGACCTTCTCACCCCCTATGTTCCATTGGAGGATTCTGTAAGACATTTATTTTGAAAGCTGTTTTAATTTGGGTGGTTGAGGATTCTGATTCTTGGTATCCATTGGCTCCAAGACTTCAAATTGGTTCTGTATTTGTTCATTTTTTTTTTTCCTGTGTATAGTCGAGGATTCTCTCCTTCGACATCCATTGATTCTAAGGCTTGAACTTGTTTTTGTATTTGCTTCCTTTTTTTTTTTTTTTTGGTCGTGATTTGGATATGGATGGTAGTGTAGGTTCTTGTTTGGCAGAAAAAAATTTTGTTATCGTTCATTTGGATTGGGTTTGTACCCTCAGATTTTTTCTTCGATTACTTGTTCTTGTTGTTTGTTTGCTTTGAATTAGAAATGGATATTGCTATTGATTTTGTTGCTATTTCTTTGGTCCCTTCCACTTTGTTGAGCTGTTTTATGAGGGTGACTTTAGGTTTTGTTATAGCTGGTTTGATTTCTTGTATGAATCTAGGCCTGTTGTTTGGTCCCAATTGTAGTAGTTTCTCTACTAATGCCTCATATTTATCTTGTTTGGTTGTTGTTTCTCTTGCAACCTGTGAGTATGTTTTCCCTTTCATATATCCCTCCACTATTCTACGAGCCTCAGGGAAGGAGATATTTTTGGTGTGTTTCACGATCACAATTTCTTTTCCTTTTTTGAATGCATCACATTCTTTTGAGTAGGAAGGGTGATCACCTCCACAGTTTGCGCAATTAGTTGTTTCTCAATATTCATTTGTAAGATGGCTTGGGTCTCTTTGTCCACTTTTACCACATGCTGTTCGTCCACGGCATCCATCCTCATGGTGGCCAAATTTTTGGCAATTATAGCATCGAAGAGGGTTAGGGATAAATTGTTCCACCCTTTCTATATTATACCGAATCTTTATTTCTTTTGGTATGATAGGTGTGTTGAAAGTTAAAATATATGTATTTATTTCTATCATTTTTTCTTCCCTTTTTTATAGAAACCCTCTTCGCATCAATTACTCCTTGGCTTTTTAGTTCTGTTTTAATTTCCTCAATTGTGCATAATGTGAGTTCCATGCTTTGCACTACTCCTTTAGAGGAATTTAATTTTTGATGAGGGTAGGCTCGTATTTTCATATTATGAAATTTGGTCATTTTCAGGAGGAAGGTGGCATGTTTCTTCTTCTCTACCTCTAGTAGTGTTCCGTTTCGAATGCTCTTCACTGTTTTAGCGGGAACATTGGGGGATATTACTTTCTGTATCAGAAAAGGGGATAATTTGGTCAATGGAGTTTCTTCCATAGATTCTAATATTATGAATCTGGAAAAGTTTTCCATAATGTTATAGTCCTCCTCAGAGTCAGAATCCATATGTGGTTTCTTAATGGATTCATTGGAAATTAATTTGCCTGAGGGGTTTTGTTTGTGTTTGTTTTCCATTTAAATATGTCATCTGAGTCTTTGACTGTGCTCCCCACCCACCTATCCATGTCAGAGCCCACAATTGGGATCTGTCAAGGGGGAAACCCTATCGCCTTGACGGATCAGGGACTACACAATCAGTATACTCATCAGCGAGAGAGACCCAGAGCACCTGTCATATCACCTTGCTCACCACCCCATAACATCAGTGTGCAAGTGGATGGTTTGCAGCCATGTCTGGGCCTATGGGTCTCAACATTGATAACTGACCCTCAGCTACTGTTTAGTTACTTATAGAAATTTAGAGTATTTTATTTTGATATTTTTTTTTTTTTGGCTTTTTTTTTGTGTTTGAGAGTAGATGTTAGGGCTTGACCTGACCATCCGATTGATCGGATCAAGCCCCTCCGACCACCCGTCTAGTCCAGGTAACGGCCAAAGTTAAAAGGTTAAAAAGAAGGAAAATAAGGAATTGCCTTGAATCACTTGAAAACTACTTGGAAAATATCTATTTTCCTTTTAAATAGGAACATCTGAAGAAGGCTGAAAATTATTTCTTTTTATTCATTTAAAAAATATAATTGGAAATATTTATTGGATTCACAGTAAATTTTGTATTGCTCTTATAAACAATTATTAAAGTACTTTCTTGTTTGGTCGGAGTTGGTTCCTTATTAGCTTCTACCAATAACCTGTATATGTGTATGTAGATATATTTCAATTTTTTTCTCTTTTTATGGGGATAGGCACAGGTACCATCGTTGTTTTTTTTTTTATTTGTTGTTGATGCGTTTTACTGTTTTATGTTTTTTTTGTATTTTTCTCATTCTTTTTTTACTTCCTCTTATTGTTGTGAAAAAAAAAAAAAAATTGGGGAGTTAGGTGGAAGAGTACCTTATTGGTAAGTCCCCACTCCTATTTAAAGCCTGTGTATACTTTTTTAAAAATCTGATTTTAAATAAAGATGGTTCATTATTATATTATTATTAAAACTAAATTAGCCAAAACTTTATGGTAACAAGAAACAAAATAGCATCAGTAGTCTAAATAATTCTTAGAAAAATGAGAATATAAATCAAAACACGTCCTGAACTAATCAGAGGAACAGGTTACTTACCAGTTTGGTCTGTTGAGGAAATTGGAAGTATACTTGTGGTTGTTGGTAAAGTTGTATTTGCTCCTTTAGAACATTTAATGGCAACATCCTCATCGTGTCCACAGTTATGCACTCCCCAAGAAAGATTGGGACAAACTTCAAGATAATATTCTGATCCAGTACAACGGAGATCATCAAGCCAGATTACACCTTTCCCTTCTCCAAATGTATTTGGAATATCTTCTCCAGAACTGAAATGAAAATTTATTTTAAAAATAAAAAACAAACTGCATTAAGTAAGCGGTGGGTGAAAGGTTCTTGGCCTGACTCCACTCTCAAAAAATTGGACAAAATGATCAGAATTGATTCTAGATTGCCTTTCATTTAAGCTAATAACTTTTTAAAGGTTCAAATATAAATAATTTTAAATACAATAATTTCAAAAAAAACAATTATTAAAGTTAAAACTGAAAAGTATCTCAAATGCTTTACTCCAAATGATAGTTGTTGCTATGATTTTGTAAGGTGGAAGTACGCAGTATCTATCAACAAAAAACGGGAAGAGTCTGACTATCTGTAGATTTGCTTGTTTACAATAGAAAAATGATGTTTATAATATGTTATGCTAATGTCTTGATATGCAGGTGGCATAATGGATATGGATGTGCATCACAGAGTCAAGTTTGTATTCCAGTCAAATGCATTGATTCATTAGCATGCAAATACTCTTGGGAAAGGTATGCATCCATCTTTTCCACCAAGTATGGGTTAAATGACAGGACATATTGAAGTCCCTAGCTGTAGTTAACAATTACTGTAGAAGAAGGAAACCTCTGAATTCATGGCCATAAAGATAAAGTCATGGGAAATTAAAGAACTTGAAAGCCACAACTGACATCTTTACAGTGAAGACGTTGGTAGCAGGGTGGTGGTCAGTGGCAGAATCTCACAGAACAGATCTGCAATGTAGACATAAAAAACATGCTTGGTACAGGTCAATGGATGCAAGATAATTATTCTAAATAAGATGGAAACTGTGAGAAGACAAAGAGTAGGGAAACTGGAAATAATGTTAACAACACTAGGAAGAAGATGCTTACAAATGAATGGTTATGTAAGTGACCATGCATTATATTAAGTAATCATATGGGTATTTGAGGTACCTAATATTGCAGGAATAGACCAGACCAGAGGGTATATTCATGAGTAATTTTTGTAGCTAGTTTCCTGTTGTCTTCGGCAAGAGGTTTCCTTTGTTTTCATAAAATACACCTGATGAAAGCTGGAGAATGGACCAGGAAAAATGATGTGATAATAATGATAAATATGCAAAAGTATATTTGAGCAATGAAGAAATTAAATCCATGAGGGATGATATAATTTTTTTAATAGAAAATAATATAAAAAAAAATTAAAAGTATGTAAATTTAAAAGTTGAGAACCATCTGGAAACTCTTTCAATGCTATATAAGATTAGACTACTCATGACCCGTTGAGTCAATGATGGTTCAGGTTATCAAACATTGAAGTTCATTTCAACATTAAACAAATTGTCTATTTTAAGAAAGTTGAAATATAAATACTTACTGTATCAACAACTTATGTATTTAAATGTTATTCTCTTAAAATTAAATAGCTCCACAAATTGGGTATGTGTAAAGTTTAAAATGAGTTTTTAAAAATGAAAACACTTTCCTGAAGTTTTCAATTTAGCTTTAAATGAAAGCTAAAAGATTAAATTTACTATACCCAGTAAGTAAAATATTTTGATGTATTTCAGACAAAAATTATATTGATTGGAATAAACTTACATTTTTTTTTCAGTGAAATAATTAATGTCAGATATTTTTTAAACATTTGTAAACAAAACTTAATTTTCCATTTTAAAAACCTTGCAAAAATAAAATATATATTTCTGAAATGTTATTTGAGGAAAATTGGCAAATTTAAAGTTAAGTTAATCTGATTTGAAAGAAATATTATTTACTTATAGCCTAAAATGTTGTATACAAGCATTTCCCAACCACAAGGTCTTGATTTTCAAATTTCAAATGTTCTAAAAAGGAGTAAAAAATTTAATTACATAATCAAAAAATACTTTGAGCCTTCCTCTTAATAATAACATAATGAATTTGATGCTAAAACTATGTTTTCATTACGATTGGAGAATGTTTTCATCATGACGTTGCTGATTTTTTAGGGATGTCATGGAGGTACCTATTTAAAATACTTTTTTTTATATCAGATTAACTTATTTTTTAATATGCCAAAAAATATTTTGAAATCATATTCACTTGAAAATATTTTTAAAATATTGTTTGTCTAAAGAAAGCTGAAATATAAATATGCACACACACAATCTCAGACAGGTGGAAAGAGAAAGGTGAAAAGAGAGAGAGAGAGAGAGAGAGGTGGGAAGAGAGAGGTGAAAAGAAACTTAAATCATTATTATGGGCCCAACAGATAATGCACCACACAAGTACAATTCACAAACTTTTAGTATTATATAAATAACAGGTTAGCTGATAATTTCATAATGTGTAGAAAATTTTGGAGAAGAAAGTAACAAAAATTTTGACAAGAAGTTGAAGATTTTGAAGAGAAAATTTTAACCTGAAGGTTCAAAAAATAAGATTCCAGAAGGAAAAAAAGTATTCTGGCTGTCACCTGCAGATAAGCGGGGCTGTTTCTAACAAAAGAAACAAACGTAAAATAGAGGCAGAATGAAAGTGAAACCTGTGAAAGTAATGGTGATCAAGAAAAAGAAAAAAATTATAACAAGTCCTAGGGACACAAGTGAATTTTGCCAAAGCCCTTCTGTTTTTTGTCCTCCAATTAGATGAAGGCATCTTCTCTGAAAGCATATTGTTACCCCTTTTTAAGTTTTGTTCTATCTTCAGAGGTTTTCACTTTTCAATTATTGGAAGTTTGAATTGTATATCTATTAAAGAGGCTATAACTCTAAATTTTGATCTGCTTATCTTGCATTGTTAATAATAAGGCACACAAAAGGTAATTATTGTGCAAGCTTATTTTGTAAAACTTTTATTTTGTTCATTGTCTTTTATAATAAATAATATAATAAATGTTTGTTCCTTTCAAATTTCAAAAAGTATTTTCAAGTTTGTTTTTGCATGTTCCTTATTCTATAATCTGGATGACAGAGGTGATGTTCTCTCTCTCCTTCAATTTACTCCCCACCACAAAATCATTTTACTGCAGAAACAATCAAACAAAACCCTGATTGAACAAAAGAAAGCATACAAAAATTATTTGAGAGTTGTAACAATTATGTTTCTCTAAATACAATATGTAAAAAAAATTAAAACTCAAAATTACCTGTATCCCATCATTCTACAAATAACTTTTGCATCATTGTTATCAAAGTAGTCATCACAGACAGTTCCTTTGACTCCTTGACGAGTGATTTCAATTCTTCCACTGATTTCTGATGAGCCACCAATAAGCTGGATTCTAAAATCTGCAGAGAAAAAGGCAAAACACAAAAAAAGAGTGAGACTAATGCATGAATTTAAACATAGATTCTGTACATATACAGTTGTTTATTTGTGAATAGGATATATATAAAATCTCCAACTATTCAAATGTAATGTTAATCGACATCTCCAGTTGCCTTGATCTAACCACTATCCTTCTCCTCATCCTTTCCTCTATCACTCCTATCTGATCTTGCTCCAAATCTTCTGTAACCCCTTGCGTCCTAGTGGCTTCCTGCCTTGCTTTGGGTGAAACGCTTAAAAAAAAAAAAAAAAATAATATATATATATATATATATATATATATATATATATATATATATATATATATATGCACACACACATGAATGAATGCAAAGGTAGACATAGATTCAGTTTGTGATAGAGTCAAAATGATAGACACAAGACTGATTTAAAAATGTCTACCTGGAAAGAGGCACTTTTTAGAAAGTTTTAACATCTCTTTGGGGGATACATTCTAAGCACAGCTTAGTTGACAGGAAGGAATCATTGTATCCCACCTGGGATGGTCAGATAAATATATGACACTGGATAACATAATCACATCTCTCTCTAAATAATTTTTTTTAAAAATAGCAAAAGATTTGTGAAAACAACTTGAAAATGGTCTGTCTTCTTTTCAAACAGATTGTACATCTGAAGAAATCTGAAAATCTGAATCAGTGTAAATTTAATAAAAACAACAGACAAAATAACATCAATATCCAAAATAATTCTTGGAAAGATAAGTCTAAACAACTCATGAATTAGTCAGAGAAACTGGTTAATTACCATTTGAAGTTGGAGGTATACTTGTGGTTGTATTTGCGTCTTTCAAACATTTAATGGCAACATCCTCATTGTGTTGACAATTATGCGTTCCCCAAGAAATGTTGGGACAAACTTTAAGATCATATTCTAATCCAGTACAGCTGAGGTCATCAAGCCAGATGGTACCTTGCCCTTCTCCAAATATATTTGGAATTACTTCTCCAGAACTGAAATTGAAAATTATTTTAAAAAATTAAAAATATTTCATAGGTGGTGGGCAAAAAGGTTTAGAACTCATTTAGGAACATCTTTCAATTAGGCTGATAGCTTTTTAACAAAATAAAAATAACTTAAATGTAAATTTTAAAATAATTATTAAATTCTAAAAGTGTAAAATATATCTAAAATACTTTTGATAGTAAAGTTGATCTAACTTACACCATCTAGTACAAATAACTATATACAAATTAATATATAATCATACAAGATCATTTTTATGCAAGAGGGGGATTGTAAAACTTGTCAATTTTACAATATCAGTGTAATATTTCATTGTAAGTCTTTGCAAAGTTCTTCCTAGAGTTAGTTCTTTCGAATAGAAAATGTAAGAAAAGAAAGTGAATTTATAATATACTATGCATATGTAGTAAGGTATTTAAGGAGGAAACCAGTCATCCTGTTAGAGTCAGACTGAAGGACATAAGTAAGTCATAATTAAAGGTGAGGTAGGGGTGGAGAAGGCTATGCATTAGCTTCTGTGTGATGAAGTCCAGGTAATTTACAAGGAGCATCATGAGAAAGTAAGGAAGTTGAAAGTGGTGGCATCTGTTGGCATTTCAACAACGTATATTAGCCAAGCTAATATGGAATAAAACACAATTGTTTTTTTCTTTTCAAAGGGGTGTTAAGGAGGGTTCCTACTTATCATATTTTCTGATCACCAGGGTACTCGATGTAAATACATCAGACCATTGGGAATATTCACAAATACTTTTTGTTGCTAATTTATCATTTTCTTGTAAAAGAGGTGAACTTTGTACTCATGAATTACACCTGAAGAGGGCTGGAGAACAGATCAATCAAAAACTTAACAATAGTGAGCATATGAAGAATTGATTTGAGTGTCTCAACAACTTCATTTCATCCATAATATTAATCCTTGTTTCTCGAAAGAAAATATATAAAAAGATTAAAAATCAAAGTCACCTGTATCCCATCATTCTACAAATAACTTTTGCATCATTGTTATCAAATTGGTCATCACAAACAGTTCCTTTAACTCCTTTACGAGTAATTTCAATTCTTCCACTGATTTCTGATGAGCCACCAATAAGCTGGATTCTGATGGCTGCAGAGAAAAAGGCATAAAACAAAAAGAGAGTGAGATGTGTGAATATTTATACATGCATTAAAAACATAGTTTCAGGAGATTTGCAACTGTTTCTATGTATATATATATATTATAGTAAAAATAGAAAGAACAGTAAGATATATAATCCAGTGTTTTTATTGATATGGTTATTTTTACAAAACAGTGCTCAATGTAAAGCATACTTGTACAGTAACAATTAGTTTTGACTTATTACTTGGTAAGTTTGCATTTTATATCTGTTGTTATAGGAATGCATTGCAAATAATGGAGTAATGATTACTACAGGAATGCATTGTGCATCATTTTATTATATGAATGAATCCCAATAGTTTGTATTATAGAAATATATTGCTAAATATTTCACTGCATCATTTACTATATAAATACATTGCAAATTATTATACTATTGCAATACATTGGCAATCATTTATATAAGTACATTGCTCAAAATTTGATTATTGAAATGCTTTGACAAGCATTTTTGCCCATTAGTTTTACATTAAAAATTATTTTTGCTGCAGAAATCCAGTAAAAATTATTTTTCTCAGAGAAAATAAATTTTAGGGCACAGTTCTTTTATTCTCCATCAATGCTTCATATCTATTACATGAAAATTATGTAAAAGATGACAGCTTTATACAATGCTTATGTTGGTTAATTTATTGACATATCAACACTTCTTGGTTTATTTAATGCTGAATATCTCTTTTATAGGACATCAATTTCAATGAATTAATGCAAAGGTGGACATAGGTTCAGATAGTGATAGAGTCAAAATGATAGACACAAAATTGGTTTGTCATAGAATCTAATAGCTATTTAGTGACTAGTTAAATTCCTGAGTTTGAAAATGTCCACCTGGAAAGAGGCACTTTTTTTGAAGGTCATACATCTTTGTGGGATGCATTCTAAGTACAGCTAAGATGGAAGGAAGGGATCATCATATCCTTTCTGAGATGGTCAGATAAGTATATGATGCTGGATAACGTGATGCCTTCTCTCTTCAAATAAATTTTAAAAAATAACACAAAATTTGTGAGCACTGTTTGTAAAGTGTCCACCTTCCTTCCAAATAGATTGTATATCTGAGGAAGGCTGAAAACTGGATCAGTATAAATTTAATGATAATATCATGAAAAGTCTAAATAATTCTTGGAAAGAAGAGAACATAAGTTTAAACAATTCCTAGATTAATTAGAGAAATAAATTACTTACCAAGTTGGTCTGCAGTGGAACATTTAATGGCAACATCCTCATCGTGTCCACAGTTATGCACTCCCCAAGAAAGGTTGGGACAAACTTCAAGATCATATTCTGATCCAGTACAACTGAGGTCATCAAGCCAGATGACACCTCTCCCTTGTCCAAATGTATTTGGAATTTCTTCTCCAGATCTGAAATGAAAATTTATTTAAAATCCAACAAACCACATTACAAAGGTGGTGGGTGAAAGGTTCTTGGCCTGGCCTCACAAAATATAACAAAATGATCAGAACTGATTTTTGAACACCTTTCAATTCATTTGATAACTTTTTCAAACCTCCAAAACATAAATAATTTTTAAACCATTTAGTAAAGTCCAAATTTTAAAACATCTTTCAAATGCTTTTGATAATAAAGTTGATTGGAATTACTCGATAACAATAGTTGTTGCTATGATCTTGTAAGGACGTGGAACTAGGCAGCATCTATCAACAAGAAAGGGGAAGAGATCTTCCTGTCAGATTGTCTGTAGATTCTCAGTAGATTTGTTTATTTACAATAGCAAAGTCTGAAAATATATGCTATTTATAACATACTATGCCAATGTGTGAATATGAAGGTAATATAATGGATAGCAGCACATCACAGAGTTGAATTTGTATTCCAGTCAAGTTCATTAGATTCATTAGCATTCAAATACTCTTGGGAAAGATATGCATCTATCTTCTCCTCCAGCTATGGGTTAAATAGCAGGATAGACTGAAGTCTCTAGCTGTTGTTGGCATTTATTCTAAAAGAAGGAAAACTCTCAATTCAAAGGCATGATGATAAAATCATGAGTTGCACTTTGGGAAGGTAAAGCACAGGAAGCCACAACTGCCATGGTTACAGTGAAGACATTGGTAGCAGGATGTTGGATGTGGTCATTATTGCAATGCAGCATGAAAAATTTGTACTGGATAATGAATGAGACATAATTATTATTATTCTAACTCAGATGGATACTGTGAGAGCAGAAAGAGTCTTTTTTATGTGCCATGTCCCTTCAGGACATAGGCAATCAATGGCTTTCAATTTCTTCCTATCTCTTCTCAATAAGTTGTGTCTTTTTGCTACTTCTCCCAGACCCTGTCCTGTCATTCACTTGCTTAAGCCTGCTAGGTATGTCACGCATTGCTTTCCCTTGTTCCTCTTTCCTTCTATTCACACTTTGAGTATCAGATTTTCCAAGCCTTCCTTTCTTATTACATGTCCCAGAAATTTAAGCTACCTCTTCCTGATGTTAAGTATAAGTTTCCTTGTTGTTAGCATCCTTCTGTAGAACCATACCTCTGTTGTCTCATATCTCTTCTTCATCTTTGAGGAGACCATCCAATGTTTGCTGTCGTGAAAGACAACAGATATCACATAGCAGTTCAGTACTCATTTCTTTGTTACCAATGAAATCCTCCTATTGCATAATTAATCTGCCTAGCTTTTGGAATGTGTCTTTTCCCATCTCAATGCATCTTTGGATCTCAGCAGTGCACTTACCGTCCTCTGTCAGAACACTTCCCAAATATTTAAATTTCTGCACTATCTTGATTTTAAAGTCCTCGACCTGTAAATCACATTTGGGGCTCAACTTTCTACTGATGCCCATGCATTCTGTCTTCTTGGAGCAACGTGCCATCTGCATATCTTATGTTGTTAAGATAGTGGCTGCCAATGTTGAATACTGGTAGGATTTCCAGTTCTCTCACAATAGCCTCACTGTATAGGTTGAATAAGTCTGCTGAGAAGACACATCCTTGCCTTGCATCCCTTTCTATTTTTGTATATCTGCTGAACTCATTTTCTATCGGTATGCATGCTGTTTGCTGCCAGTATAGGTTCTTGATTATTCTAACATCTTTCCCAAATATATCAACGTTACTGAGCAGTTCCAACAAATCTTTGTGGCATACTTTGTCAAACACCTTTGTATAATCTATAAAACGTGGGTGCACGTCCTTCTCCATTTGTATTGCTCTTTCTGTTAACATCCTGAGCATGAATATTAATGTTCCTTGTTTGTATTTAATGAACTGTAATGTTCTTGTCCCATCTTTGGCCTGATTCTGCTGCACACTCTATTCATCAGAACAGATGATGAGTTTTGTTATGTGGCTCATTAGGGCTCATTAGATTGATTGTTCTATGGACTTCAACTTCATTTGTGTCTGGTTTCTTAGGCAGTGCTATGAAAATAAATCTTCTGAGATATTCCAGTATATCGCTGCTGTTGTAGATTTCATTTATTATTTCCATAATCTTGTCTATGCCAAAATCACCTAAGGCTCTCAACATCTCTGTTACAATTCTGTCTGGCCCTGCTGTCTTGATCCCGTTCAATTTGTTCAGTGCTGCTTCTACTTCTACTTCATTTTTTAGAATTTCAGGCCCATCAGTACAGCGTGAAATGGGTTAAATCTATGGGAATTAACTCCACGCCCGGTAAGGACTGACATGTGCAACAGGTGTCACCTGATTGTCATCCAGCGACTGCTAGCACAAACGGTGTAAATGGAATAAAATTCCTCAGAACTGATCCCTCACGTGGAAAGGAGTGACATGAGCAACAGGACTATTATCAGACCATTATCCAGCTAACTGCTTCCAGTGTCAACTTGCATTTTTAAGTCTACACTGTTTAATGTTGATGAAGGTGTTCTTTTTGTTTCACCTTTCTATTGAAAATATGTTCCTTTGATTTTTTTTTTATATTGTAATGTATTATTTCAACATTTTTACATTGGTGGCTCACCATGTACATACGACGTGAAAGTGATTTTTCTTTTTGCACTTATTTCATGTCTGTCCCAATGCTGGACATTTCTTTCTCTTTGTTTCATGTTTATAGTTGCAATATCTGAATCTTATCATTGTTCTTTTTATCACACATGTGTCCATAAGCTCAGCTTGGTTTCATTTTTATTAAATTTTTCAATTATTTCCTTTTGTTGTATGAAGTCAATACAAGCTTCTAAAGTCATTTGATTTGTCTGTAACTGCTCCAAAATTTTTACTCTATGATAGGTGTTGTACAGTTCTTCTACCAATCAAAGTTGAATTAATTCTTCCTCTGTGCTTATTCCTTGTTGTCCTAGTTCATGAAATTCAATATGTCTGCTGGTATCTCTTAACCTTCTTAGATATTTCCCTAAAGGCTCCTAAAATTCTTGGTTCAATGCTAAGAATTTGGTTCGTTTGGCTATGACCAATCTTTTCTTTGGTTGAATATTTCTCAATATTATCTCTTTGACTACCTTAAATGTCAAGTTTTCAATTTCAGCCAGGTAAGTAATTAACGAAATCTGTTTAATGACTTTACATCCCAGAGTGGCCAAAAACAAATCCATGATTTCTTTCTATCCTCCAGGTGTTTGGTCATCTTGTAAATTCTTTATTCTGGCATGTGCCTCAAAGCATTTTATTAAAATCTTTACATTTTCAGGTACTTCTATTTTCAACAGATCTCCATCTGACAACACCATTTTGTTATGATGATCAAACTTGGAAGCTGTAGATGTTCTACATATACTGATTCTAAGTTAACCCATGAGCTATAATTCTAGTTCTCTTTATACTAATTACCTATTTGCTAAACCAATCCCATTACACTTACTTTTAAGAGAAGTGTATTTAAAAGAAAACCAAACAGTTAATAAAACATAAATTTCATGTGATACATTTGTTTCTTAAATTTTCTAAAAATAGAACTGGTTCAAAAAGAACTGCCAAAAATAATTTGGTTGAGGAGGACAGTTTGTGATTTCCTTTTCAAATTTGAAAAATATATACCCATTGGATTTTTTCACTAATCACAAAAATGGCTTTCACTTATTTAAATTTAAAAGCTGAGATCTGTCTTGGAGCTTTTTTCGATGATATTTAAGATAACGGGTTAGCTGATAATTTCAGAATGTTTAGAAAATTTTGGAGAAGAAGGTAACAAAAATTTCAATAAGGTGAAAATTTTAAAGAGAAAATTTCAACCTGAAGGTATAAAAAATAAGATTCCAGAAGGAAAAACTATTCTGGCTATCACCTGTAGATGGACTGGGCTGTTTCTAACAAAAGAAACAAATGGAAAATAGAGGCAGAACCAAAGTGAAACCTATGAAAGGAATGGTGTTCAAGAAAAACAACATTAAAAGTCCTAAGGATGCAAGTGAATTTTGCCAAAGCCCTTCTGTATTTTCATCCTCCAATTAGATGGAGGTATCTTCTTTGAATACTTATTGTTATCCTTTTTTGAGTTTAGTTGTATCTTCAGAAGGTTTTCACTTTTCAATTATGGAAGTTTGAATTGTTTAAAGAGCTATAACTCAAAATTTTGATCTGGTTTCCCACCATGTTAACAGGATGCACGAAAGGTAATTTTTGTGTAAGCCTATTTTGTAAAATGTTTATTTTCTTCATTGTTTTTTTATGTCTATATAATAAATGTTTGTTCCTTTCCAATTTCACATAGTAGCTTTGAGTTTTGTTTGTTTTTGTATGTTCCTTATCCTGAGAGAGGAGATGTTTTCGATATTCACCCAAAGCCTCCCCACTAGGAATGTGGTACAAGGCTGATTTTTAATGTGGGGCATTCCAAGCATGTACCCTCAGGCAAAAATTCCCCATAGACTATGCATACACAGTATCAGGTGGCTGTCTACCTTTCCGGATGAGCCTCTGCCCTTTGGCATAGCCTCATCTGGGCTCTTCTCTGTCCAGAGGCAGAGAGTTCTCTTCTCTCTCTCTTCTTCCATTTATTCCCCACCCAAAAACATTTAATTGTAGAATGGATCAAACAAAACCTTGATTTCACAAAAGAAATAATTTGAAGGTTGTAACAATTTTGTTTCTCTAAATAAAATATGTAAAAAAAATAAAACTCAAAATTACCTGTATCCAATCATTCTACAAATAACTTTTGCATCATTGTTATCAAATTGGTCATCACAGACAGTTCCTTTGACTCCATTACGAATGATTTCAATTCTTCCACTGATTTCTGATGAGCCACCAATAAGCTGGATTCTGACATCTGCAGAGAAAAAGGCATAACAATAAAAGAGAGTGAGATGTATGAAATCTGATACATGAATTTAAACATAGGTTTTGTACATATGCACCTGTTTATTTGTGACCAAAATATATAAAATATATATGCGCACACACACACACACTAGGATGGTAACAAATAATTTTGACACATTCCTTTGTAAGTCTTCATTTTATATATGTTATTATAGAAATTTATTGCAAATAATGATTACCCACAGAAATGCATTGCACATCATTTTACGATAGGACTGTATTGACAATGGTTTGCATTATGGAAACATAACATTTTTCTGTAGAAATATATTATGCATCATTTACTATCTAAATACACTGCTACCCATCATTTACTATATAAGTAAACTGCTACCCATCATTTGTTATATAAATACACTGCTATCCATCATTTGCTATATAAATACACTGCTAGTTATAATAATATTGTAATGCATTGATATTCATTTATATTATAGTAGTACATTGCCCAAAATTTGATTATTGAAATGCTTTGACAAACATTTTTGCCCATTAGTTTTACATTAAAAAATATTTTTGCAGCAGCAATCCAGTAAAAATTATTTTTCTCATAGAAAATAAAGTGAGGGAACATTTCATTTATTCTCTATCAATACTTCATATCTATTACATGAAAATTATGACAAAGATGACAGCTTCATACAATGCTTAGGTTGGTTAATTTACTGACATATCAACACATCTCGCTTTATTTGATGCTGAATACATCTTTTATAGGATAAAATCCAAATGAATTAATGCAAAGGTAGACATAGAACCAAGTTTGTGAAAGAATCAAAATCATAGACAGGTGTGGTTGATACCAGAGTTTAATAGTTATGCACTGACAAGTTAAATTCCTAAGTTTGGACATGTCCACCTGGAAAGAGGCACTTTTGAGGAAGGTTTTGCGTCTCTTTGGGAGATGCATTCTAAGCACAGCTAAGATGGCAGGAAGGGATCATTGTATCCCTTCTGGGATGGTAGATGAGTATATGACACTGGATAACATGATCACTTCTCTCTACAAATATTTTTTTAAAAATAGCAGAGAATTTGTGAAACCAATTTGGAAAGTGTTCTTTCTGCCTTCCAAACAGATTATACATCTGAAGAAGGCTGAAAACTGGATCAGCAGAAATTTAATAATAACATCAAGTAAAATAACATCAATATTCAAAATAATTCTTGGAAGTATATGAATGCAAGTCTAAACAACTCATGAATTAATCAGAGAAACAGGTTTCTTACCATTTGAAGTTGGAGGTATACTTGTGGTTGTATTTGCGTCTTTGAAACATTTAATGGCAACATCTTCATAGTGTTGACAGTTATGTGTTCCCCAAGAAATATTGGGACAAACTTCAAGATCATATTCTAATCCAGTACAATTGAGGTCATCAAGCCAGATTGTACCTTGCCCTTCTCCAAATATATTTCGAATTACTTCTCCAGAACTGAAATGAAAATTTATTCAAAAAAATTAAAAATATTACATAGGTAGTGGGTGAAAAGGTTCATGGCCCGACAAATGACAAAATGACAAGAACTGACTTAGGAACATCTTTCAATTAGGCTGATGACTTAACAAAATACAAATAATTTAAAATAAATACCTGTGCACAGAGTTGCAATACTTAAGGTTTAAAAAGAATTTTTAAAAATGAAAAATCTCTCTTGAAGCTTTTATTTTAATTTTAATTTCAAGTTACTAGATTAAATTTAATTAGGTACCGCCACTATTTTGATAAAATTTTTGATACCTAAAGATTAAAATGAATTTTTAGAAATGAAAAACATTCTTGCAGATTTCATTTTAGCTTTAATTAAAAGCTGAAAGATTAAATTCATTATTTTCAGGAAGTAAAATATTCTGGTGTGTTTCAGGTAGAAATTATATAGATTGGAATGTCAAATTTAATTTTGATTTCTTAAAATTTTCTTATAAGCGGCCATTTTATTAATTTTAAGAAATTTGTAAACAAAACAAATTTATTGATTTTAAGATTCTGACACGTTATTTGAGTAAAATTAGAAAATTTAAAGTTAAATTAATCTGATCTGAAATAAATATTACTTACTTATAGCACAAAAAAGTAATATACAACCATTTATTTAATGATTGGTCCTGCTTATCATAGCTTATCTGAAGTGATAATGGATGGCCAATTGAGTAATGAAGCATTGACAGTTATTATAGCTGGCTAGAATTGATATAAAATTTACGAAATCTAAGTGGACACATTTATGGAGTTTTCAACTACCTAGTAATTTTTACAAATAAACATATTTTCCACAATTATCTAACAATTTATTGACTTTTATTTACCTTTCAAAAAATTAAAATATCATAAAATTATCTTGAATTAATTTTTCTGTAAAGAGACAAAACTCTTAGATCACGTGACCATTTCATAATAATGTCACATTTAGACTTTCATAGATGAAAATAGGGAACTAAGTAAAAAAAAAAAAAAAGAAGAAATAAAAATTTATTTTAAAAATAGAATAGTGTAACTACGTCTATTAATCTTTTCAATTCTGGATTCGTAAATTTTGTTTCCACTTAGTTGCTATATCACATCCAGGAAATAGAACAATATAGAATTTTTAACAATTTTAAACTATTATAAATTATAATTAAAATTTTAAAAATTGAAAAAATTCTTGTAAAAATTTATTATTCATTGGAAATAATTAATTTCTTCAGACAATAATGTCCTTACTATAACTTATTTACAAAAGCAATTAAAAGCTTTTCTAATTAAATAATGTCATAGTTTTATTGCATTGATTATTTTTCAATTCAGAGCACATTTTAGAGAACTAAAATGAAAATTTATTCAAAAGAATTAAAACTATTACATAGGTGGTGGGTGAAAAGTTTCTTGGCCTGATTCACTTTGCAAAATGTAACAAAATGGCAAAAACTGACTTAGGAACAAATTTCAATTAGGCTGATAACTTTTTAACAAAACACAAATCATGTAAAATAGGTACCAGCATTGATCTGCAATATTAAGGTTTAAAAGGAATTTAAAAAAATGAAAAATCTCTCTTGAAGCTTTTATTTTAGTCTTAATTTCAAGTTAGTAGAGTAAATTTAGTACTTCAAATAAATAAAATACTTGAATGGAGAGAGAGATTAGCACCACCTTTTTAGAGCAATGGTGTGAGATAAAAAGTGAAGTTGTAGTTTTATGGGCAGTTTGATTTCACTGAACACTCTCCAAAGGAGCTGGACAAACCCCTAAATATGAAAAATTACTTGAGTAAACACATTTTGAAAATATTGCATTTTAGAAAAAGGTTGATGCAGAGGGTGGGAGATAACCAGCCCCAAGACCCTGGTCAACCCCACACCTGTTAGATAAAAAGACTCCATATAAACTGATGGTTTGGGCAACTTACAGAGTCCCCACATTGTTGCTACTAGAATCCACATCGTTATTTGAGTTTTTGACCAAGCTCTTGTACCAGAAATTAGAAATTTAAATTACTAATAATACAGGAAAACTCTAAAGGGAATCAAAAAATGAGTAGAATGAGTTTGTTTTTGATTTTTTTTTTTTTGCTAAAAAATCTCATTTCAACATCCATTTTTAGCCCATGTTCATTCTCTTTGTTTAAAAACCTTCCAGTAATAATAAAATATACTTTTCTGAAACTTTATTTGAGGAATATTAGTTGATTTAAAGTTTAAGTAATGTAATTTGAAACAAATATTATTTTCTCTAAGTTTAATATATCTCGGGAATGCAATTTCGTTAACATGTCATTAGCTGTTCAATTAAGCTGTTGACATGTTAACAGCTTGTTGACAGATAGATGTTTATCTGAAGAATATAATTTGAGCACCTTTTATCCAATTTTGTTCTACGGGGGCTTTAACTGTCAAAAAAATAACTGCGGAATATAATGTTAACACCTTTTAAGTATTCAGTAATGTTAAAAATTTAGGAAGTTATTCTCCATCATCTAATGTTTTATTGATTTTTAGATACTTTGGCTGTAAATTTATTATAGCTATCACTCTCATTTTCTGATAATGTTCTGTATGAACATCCATAGCTAAAAAATCTGAATGTTTATAGACATACAAAAATTCAAAATTTTTTTTAAAAATATTACTGTCTGATGAATTGTACTAAGCTTTTCAATTTATGATTAGCACATATAGTTTTTCTTAATAATAATATTATCTACAAGGAAGAAATTAATTCAGAATTTTAAAAGATTTAAAACTTAATAAATTATTCTAATTACATTTTTTAAAAATTGTAAACAATTCTTGTAAAAATACATTATTAATCAAAAAATGTTTTTCTTAAGACAATAGTGTCCTTAATATATATTATTTTTAAAAGCAATTAAAAGTGCTACTAATTAAATAATGTCTTAGTTTTATTGCATCTGTTATTGTAATATTCAGAATAGATTTTAGATAAATAATGTTTCTGTTTTACAAAAAAAAAAAAAAAAAAACAATGATGATTTAAATTCTCCAAGGACTTCTGCTTTTAACTAATATAAATATTAAGGGGCTGAAAAATTAAATTTCACAAAATTTCATAAAAAGTAAGTGTGGTGGGGCTAACAGAAATAAAAAAAAAATATAATTTTTTTAACTAGTTTTTATAAAAGGAAATAATATATTTATTAGATTTTTTATTAAAAAAAAATTCTAAAATAATTAAATTCATTTCTGATTAAGTCCTGAATGTTTCACATATATTTTATTTTGGCAAGAATTTACCAAATAAATGGTTACATAAGTGACCACACATTATATGAAGTGATCACATGAGTATCTGAGGTACCTAATATTGCAGGAATAGACCAGACCAGTTTGTATATTCATGAGTAATTTTTGTAGCTAATTTCATGTTGTCCTGGGCAAGAAGTTCCTTTTTTTCTCATGAAATACACCTAATGAAGGCTGGAGAATGGATCAGGTAAAATGATGTGTCAATAATGATAAATATGCAAAGAAGATATTTGAGCAATGAAAAAATTAAACCTGTGAGGGTTGGAGAACAGATCAATCAAAACCTCGTCTTAACAATAATACGCATATGAAGAATTGATTTGAGTGTTCCAACAATTTTGCAGTCATTTCATTCATAAACTAATTCCTTGTTTCTTGAAAGAAAATATATAAAAAGATTAAAAATCAAAGTCACCTGTATCCCATCATTCTACAAATTACTTTTGCATCTTTGTTATCAAAGTCATCATCACAGACAGTTCCTTTGATTCCTTTATGAGTAATTTCAATTCTGCCACTGATTTCTGATGAGCCACCAAGAAGCTGGATTCTTATGGCTGTAGTGAAAAAAGCACAACACAAAAAGAGAGTGCGACATGTGAAAATTGATACATATACTTAAACTCAGATTCTGGAGATTTTCAATTTTATGAACACGATGGTTACAAATAATTTTGACATATTCTTTTTTAATTTATGATTTTATATCTGTTATTATAGGAAGACATTGCAAATAATGATTACTACATAAATGCATTGCACATCATTTTCCTACAGGAATGCATTAAACATGATTTAATTAGAGGAATACATTGCTAATAGTCTGCATTATAGAAATGTATTGCCAAATATTTTACTGCAGAAATATATTACCCATCATTTACTAGATAAATACATTGCAAATTATTATACTATTGCAATGCATTGCCAATCATTTATATTATAGAAATACATCGTCCACAATTTTTATTATTGAGAAGCATTTTTCTCATTATTTTAAGATTAATAATTATTTTTGCTGCAGAAAAATCATTAAAATTATTTTCACTATAGAAAATAAAATGAAAGAAGTAATCCAATAAATTTGAAAAGAACCCAGAAAATTAGTGAAAACTACATGGAAAGTTTTTGTTTTCCTTTCTTTCTTTTGTAAGTTTGAGGAAGGCTGAAAATTATCATCAAATCTAATAATAACAATAAATAGAATAAGAGTGATATCCTAAATAATTCTTGAAAGGATAAGAATGCAAGTCTAAAGAATTAATCAGAGAAACAGGTTACTTACGATTTGAAGTTGGAGGTATACTTGTGGTTAGACTTGCTTCATTGAAACATTGAACAGCAACATCTTCCCTGTGGGTACAGTCATGAACTCCCCAAGAAAGATTGGGACAAACTTCAAGATCATATTCTGATCCAGTACAATCGAGTTCATCAAGCCAGATGGTACCTTGCCCTTGTCCAAATACATTTGAAATTACTTCTCCAGAACTGAAAGGAAAATTTATTTGAAAAATTACATTCTCAAGGTAGGGACTGTAAATTCTTGGTCTGAATTTTTTTCAAGGCCATATATCCACTAGAACGCAGAGAGTTACAAGTTGAACAGGTTGACTGATGTCCTTGATTGGATTTTGGACTGACTTGATAGGATCTTATCCTGGTGGCACACCACCAAATATAACCAGTTGCTGGGGTATGGTCAGCTCCCTGTTATGGTACTCAATTTTGGTTGCTACTTACAAAGTATTACTGATAGAAAATGGGGAGAAAAGATCTTTGATAAATGGGGAGAAAAGATCTTTGATAAAGGAACAAAATGCTTTCTGTAAATTTAACAAAATTCAATGCGAAGAGAAAGAAATATGTCTGTAGAATTTAAATCCTATGAAATGATGTCTGAGTGTTAACTCTATATACAATGTGTGTTCAGTGAAATGTGGGTGTGTTTGAATCTGGTCTGTTTCTTTCACTCAATGAATAATTACTGCCAGCTAAAATGTGCACCGGCTTTATAAAGGGAAAACATTTTTGATAACAATGATTAATGACTTCACTTTAGCCAAACCACAAAAAAATTACAATTCGCAATGCCCTTAGCTCATATTTCATTATCTTCATCGTCCCATAAATTAACCAGGTGACTTTCTTACTGATGAAAGATTCCTTTTCAGAAATGATCAGGTCCAGATAATAAGGAACATTATTCAAGGAGTAAAGTAGCTGAAGGATGTCACATATATCAAACTGTTAATAAGTTATGCGAGAGGGGCAAGTACAATCACACAATTAGGGATTTCTTTGCTTAGAAATGCACCATTAGGGAACTATACATTTATTATATTTTATTATTACCTGGGCAGTTGATGCAACTCATAATGTCAGAATAGACCAAACCAATTATTACTAATTTTGTTTATAATTCTTTTTTTTTTCCCAAGAGAAAATGGTTAACTTCATTCTCATGGATTTCACTTGATGAGGGCTAGAGAATGGATTAAATAAAATATTTTCTTTGCAGTCATTATTTACATTATCTAATTCATTGTCTATCCAAAGAAAAAATATGTAAAAATATTAAAACTAAAAATCACCTGTATCCCATCATTCTACAAATAACATTTGCATCGTTGTTATCAAAACTATCATCACAGACAGTTCCTCTGATTCCATTACGAATGATTTCAATTCTTCCACTGAGTTCTGATGTGCCACCAACAAGTTCAATTCTGATGACTGAAGAGAAAAATAAAAATCATAACTCTAGGGAAACCTGTCAAAAGTGATGCATTCATTTAAGTATAGGTTATGGAGATTTTCAATTCTTTATTTCTGTTCAGGTTGTATAAAATAAAAAGAGATTAACAAAAATAAGATGGATCTGGTGTAATGCTTAACATTAATGAAAAAAAAAACAATATGGAAGTGACAAAACAACAGAGATAAGCCATGGTTGAGATAAGTGAAAGGGTATTTGTTTCCTGTGATTTATTAGCTTTGAATGTTTGCTCATTCTCGAATATCATATATCAATTGTGGGAAAAAGAGAGTACATACAAGGTATAACACAAAGTAGTATTTGAGATAAACACACGGAGATCATCAACATGCATATCTGTTGGAAATTAAAATAATAAAAATAAGTGTCTTGTTATATTTTCTTATCTTCACTTATTTTGTATATAGGCTGTATTTTATTTTGAAATTAAAAAAAATGTATCCAAGTGTCAAACTATTTAGCAGAGATATTGATTGCTAGATTAATGAATTTTCTGCAGATTATTTTATTTGTATACTAATGGGAAAGGGTAACTGATCTATTTATTTTGCCTATATTGGTTCTTCTTGTGTGTATGCAAATTGACTTGTTTGAGTTTAGCAACAAAATGGAGAGGCTCATGAAAGATTGCATTCACACCTTTTGAGGAGTTTTTTTTTGTGTTGGTAAACAGGGTTTGATTAGTGCCTTTAGGTAAAATGGAGAGTGACATGATCTTACCTCCATTCTTGAACTCAAGAAGGTTCCAACACCAGCAGAAGTGATTGTTTCCATGACAACCCAAAACACAGAATGGAGCAAAAGGTTTCATCACAAAGAATGAAGTTTTGTGAGCCAAAAATTTACTTTTTTAAATATACAGCAGAGTAATACAAGATTTTAAAGGGTTAAATTAAATTGAAAACATGTTATTAAAATATATTATTATATTTGATGTTATATCTATTTGAGTGAGATAGACACATGGGATAAATTTTGCATGAATTATCACATTGTAGTAGTTGAGAAATTGGTCTCTGCCACTACTGCTGGCTTCATTGCTGGTTGAAGGCATTGCTATTCATGGAAGTATCTTGGTGATGCTACTGATGTCCTGGGAAGTTATTTAGTCTTCCATAGCTTTATAGGGAGTCAATTGTTCAAAAAGGACCACTGCAGAAAGCCATGTTGGCATTTACTGATTGGTCAAATGAGATGGTTTATGACCCTAGTATTTTTGGATGGCATTCCAGAAAAAATTAAGGTTTTCTAGAAGGTGGCGTGTGATGTTCTGTTGCTTGTAGACTTGGTGCTAGAGTGGAGGTAATGTAAATATAAAACGCGACTCTTGCCCAAGCTTTCCAACAACCAGCCAATGATTACCTAACATTGCATTTCCATTCTCAATCTCGTCAGTATGCATTGAAAGCTGGGAAAGGGCATGGTGCTCCTCATAAGGTAACAAGATGAAAGAGAAAAACCACATTGAGAAATAAGAATGTTTCTCATATTATATGTAGATTCTGGGTTTTGCCTGTGTGGGTAGATATGTGATACTTGGGAAAACTCGGAACAGTTATGTCAGCTGTTCCCCCGACTAAGTGCACATGTACACATCTCAATATGTGGCTGGCAGTAGGAATGGATAGCACAGGAACCATGTGTATCAAATAATTGTCAGATTCTAATGAAATTTTTAAGACATATTGACAATTTGGATTGGGGATTTGTTTTATTAGAAAATCTTTGTAAATTCTTTTTTTTTTTTTCAAGTATTTCAGCCCCATTTCTTAATTTTATGAAAACCTGAGAAAGTCATCAAGATAATTTCTAGTGACTATGTTAGTAAAAAGCTAAATCCTTTGCAGAATTTAAGTTACTTAATTTTATTTGCAAAAATCAAAACCTGTTTTACTGAAAATCTGTTCTGAATCAAAAAATAAACAATGCAATAAATTATTTAACTAGGTAAACTTTTAATTGCATTTATGAATAATATATATTAAAGACAATATTGTCTAAAGAAAAAAATTTCAATGAAAAATTAATTTTTACAAAATTTGTTATCTTTATTCTACAATTTTAAATTGAATAATTTATAAAGTTTTAAATCTTTTAAAATTCAGTTTCATTGTGATAACTCTCAGTAGATATTGTTATTAAGTAAAACTATATTAAACCAATCATATATTGTATTTTTTTTATTACAATCTGATGACTGTGAATATTTAAAAAATAAATTTGTTTTGTTTCTGTATGTGTGAATAAATGCAGAATTTCTGAAATATGGATGTACAAACCAATAAATCTATTCTTAAACTTTACCATCTGCTCTGTTATACTTAAGATATTTAACTACTCAACATGTTTATCTGTCAATAAATTGATTAACACATCAAAAAGAAAAAAAACAACACCCCATAGTTAATAAATGTTTGTATACAATATTTTATGCTATCAATAAGTAATATTTGTTTCAAATCAGATTTATTTAATTTTAAATTTGCCAATTTTCTTCAAATAACATTTCAGAAATATATACTTTATTTTTGCAAGATTTTTAAATCCAAGAATTAACTTTTGTTTACAAATTTGTCAAAATGGCCGATTTTTATCGATTTTACTGAAAAAAAAATCCATTTCTGTTTGAAAAACACAACAGCGTATTTTGCTTAATAGTAAATTTTATATCATGATGTAGCTTTCAGTTAAAGTAAAAATAAAAGCTTCAAGAAACCTTTTTCATTTTAAACCTTATGTATACGGAGTTACCAATATAGAATACCAACTGGATATACTGTATTTTCATTTTTGTTTCCACTTTTTCTTAAAAACCTTCATTCACTGTTTTAATTCCCATCCCTCTTCTGTCAAAGTGGATGCTGCTTAAAAAACTAGACATAAAAAAGATACCAGCTGCTGGCTATTAGACAGAAACACTTGAGATTGAAATAAAACCACATCTTTTTCTACACAGGTGTCCATTGTATCATCTTAAAGTGCATCATCTTTATCACTGTTGGCTTTAAACTGTCAATAGTGATGCTGTCTGCATTACTGCCTCATTTGATTAGGTAGTATTTATCAGCTCAGTCAAAAACTTTAAAGGGAGCTTGGTAGTTGGGTGTGTAAGGGAATACATACTTGCAGTTGTGAAGTGTGCAGCCTAAATTTTCTTTGACAATATTCCTGGTGATGAGTGGTTGTCTTTATATGCTTTGAACCAAGCAAGTTGTTAAATTCCTAGAATAGATTTTTCTAAATAGCTGACTGCACAAAAAAAAAAAAAAAAAAATCAAAGACATCAAGCAAGTTTTTAGATTTCTTGAGAAAAAACTGATTGGAATTGTTTTTCACAGTAAGTTGTGATTACTTGTGGAGTTCTAAAAGTTGCAACCTAGTCTCTTAGAATCACTTTGTGACAGCTGTGACATCTTTGATCATTTCTGTGCTCAGCCATCAGGAAAATCTATTGACTAGAGTAAATAAGTATCATTATCCCTGAAACATGGGAAGGTAGCAGACTATATCAATGTATAGATTTGTTAATCATACATCAGGGTTGGTAAAGGTGCCTACAGGTGATTTGATATGATGATGAATTTTACATCATTGACTTTCTAGGAATATGGTAGACCATTCTCATGCATCAGTCATCATATTCTGCCAAATGAAGTGCTCCGTGATGAGTTTGACTGGGGCTCATTTGCTAGGATGTTATATTCCATGTGGTGTTGGAAAACCTTTTTCTTCTGTGTGAGTGGGATATAGGGTCTGGGGCTATCCATTGTGATGTCAAAGGAAAGCATCTTGTTACTGAAAGAAACTGGTAATTCTCAGAGCTTAAATGAAGTGTTCGTTCATACATCTTGTAATGTTGACTCTGAAATCTGTTCTGATATTATTATCTTGGTGCATGTGTTGATGTCTTCTCTTAAGACTGCGACTGTGTTGTCCTTTTTTTTTACATGTGCTTAAAAGTTCATAGGTTGTCTATGAAAGAGTGATGCTAGCATTGTGAAACCTTGTATGCTTTAATTTCAACTCTTTTTATTAATAAGTGCATTGTTTGTTTCCAGGTAACCTGATATCTGACTCTTCAAAGAAGGCTTACTCACTAGTAAACCTGGCAGTTCTGACAAAGTCAACCTGGACGCTGCTTTCAAACAGGAACTTCAGTCAGTGGTTAACTGGGATAGGAAATGGCTTGTAAATTTTAATGCCTCCAAAACAAAACCTATCTTATTTAACCACCAGAGAGATAATTCCCTGTCTGCCATTGTATGCTTGATGCTAAACTTGAGGAGAGTGTCTCTCTGTGCCTTTTCAGCCATATTGTTTTGAATGACTTGAAGTGGAACAATTATATTGAATCAATAGTTGCTTCTGCTGCAAGGAAAGTTGGCTCACTGTGTCATGCCAGAAGGTATTTTCTTGTCAGAGTCCATCCTGCATATTTACAAATTTACCATTTGTCTGTGCATTGAGTACTATTGCCAACTGTTCATCTTGAGGTTCTCGACAAAAAGAAGGATGTGCAATGTAATCAATCCTGACTTGGCATCTCACCTCCAGTCATTTTCTCATAGACATGATGGAGAAAGAGAAGATTGCATAGCATTAACTGATTGCTTCCATTCACCAGCACAAGGTACTGCTGGTTACTAAGTATCTCCATGGTTCTCCCTGTTTTTATCCACTGATGAGAGTAAGGGCCATCTTGATTCTTGATCTGAACAGAATCACCAATTTGTAATTCCTGAAGTGGGTGAAAATGTTAATTGTAAAAGTGTTTGTTGCACATGCGCCTTTTAGCCATTGCTGCCTCTTTCAGTACCAATTTCTCTCCACTGATTACATATCTGGTATTTGTCCCGTAGGACAGGGACATGGTCTTTGATAACATGACCGTATAACATCATAGCAGGAGACATGGCAAGATCTTGGACAGGCATGTGTTGGCTCAGCAAAGCATGGACTGCATGATCATGACACATCCAACTGCATCTGTCCATGTTGCCTGCAAGTAAACACTTAGCCATTTTGACAGCCAGTTCTGCCCAACAATTGCTTTGTGATGAAGTACGTTTCCTTATTCCCCAATTCTTAAGGAACAAGTTGTTTTCTTGGGAATCAAATGATGGTCCCTTGTGAGAAGAAAGTTCTTCAGGTGGACCATATGTGCAGAACCAAGTTCTCAGGGTGTTGCATAGTGCCCTGGCTTTTCCAGAGGACATTAGGGCCACTTCCACCTAACCAGTGTACAAATCTGCATATATAACATAATTTATACCATGTAAGTTGAATAAGTTAATCAGTTTGTTGGAATGGGAATTCAGGGCTAGACAGTGACATCAAGGGCTCCTTGGGCTGTGACGGGGTGATAGAGTTAAATATCTGGCATTGGGTTCTGGTCTACTGGACACTGGCATCCAAACCAGGTGTTATTCTGCATTTGTAGCATGCCATTTACAACCTTGATGTGTAGAATGTAGGGATTCAAGTACTTCCACATGAGGTTGTCGAAGTATAAGGATTTTATTTTTGATCTGTACTCCTTTGTCACAGTAAAATTCTTCAAACATAGGCCAAAACTGAGAGATCACCAACGAGAGGTCATGGCATAATTTGGGGAAACCAGTCTGTATATATTCCATCAGAGTCCGACATTCTTCATCAATGGCTCTGCAGTAACATTCCATGTGAGATGATATTTGGAAAGTTCTATTGAATTCTCTGATGTGATCCATGCTGGGTACCAGAAAGTGCAGTTGAGTGGAGCATTAAGTTTTCCAGGGAGATGTTTAATGCTGAATTTGTACACTAGTGTGCATTCCTTGAAATTAAAGAGACATGTGTGCTTTATGTTCTCAAGGGCCTGATCTGAGAAAATTTTTATGAGTGGTTGATGGTCAACAGTCACTAGCAAATCTAGGCATCTCAATATAAACATCCAACATGATTCTAGCCCATAGATAGATGCCAGGGCTTCATTTTTAACAGGTGCACAGCAGGATTCTGTGTCATTGGGAAAACAAGATCCAGCCAACTTATTTTCCAATGACTATCACTGCTATTTGGGTTCACAGGGTAATTACAGTGTCTTTGAAAAAGAAAGAAACTGATTCCTCTTTTACTGTAATCTGTTGAAAGGCATGTCATTCTATTGATCTCAAATGTCTTCAGTCCATCCTCAATTTTATGCATAATTACTCGCTTTGACTTCCCAAAATGTTCATTAAGCGTTTCATGACAATAAAATTTTTGGTACCTTGAGCGCAATAATTCCTAGAAGAGAGCCAACATCTCAGTTTGCAAGAATGCAGAAGATACCTGATTCCCCAGTCCAAACTAGGGCCTGATGCCCGTTACATTTGTAAGTGAAGGAAAGTGAAGGTTGGCCTCTCATTTCCATAATGAGTTTCACAGCATCAGAAATTATTAAGAACCTGGAAATGCCACCTCATTCTCTGCAAAATGAAATTTGTCAGGGTTAAACACAATTCCACTCTTCCAACAATGGGTTATATATACTGTTTGATCACCCTTCTCCTGATTTAGCTGCATCTGATTATCATCTGTTCCCCAACATGGAAAAACAGCTGGCAATTGGAATTGCAATGATGATGTTATCAAGTCTGTGTTGATGATGTGTTCAACACGATGAAAGATTATTCACCAATGGGATCCAATCACTGCAACATCAATGAAAGAAGTATATGGACCACAAGGGGGACTATGTTAAAAAATAAACCATATTTCATCAAATTCAATCATAAGAACTTTTTAGACATCCCTTGTGTATTGGTCGTGAATTGCAAGATATAGTCAAAGTGTTTGATTTCTCTGAATGTATATTTATCTGAGCTTGTGTTGATTTTGGTTGTAAACATTTTGTTATTAGTGTATACCACAAATTTGATTCCTTGGTAGCTCTTTGGAAAAAGTACTGTATATTGATTGTGTTGATGACAGTTTAGCTGAGATGAAGTGATTGGTTTACATTGGGAATTTACTTCTTGTTTGATGACTGCATCTATGACTGTGTCAGATGCATTTGTGGTTAGCAGAATTTTCATTTCTGAATCGTTGTCAATGTATGACAGTTTCATAAAGTTAGTAAGTGTTGATTTAGCAACACTGAATGTCTCTAAAGCATCCTGTTTGAGGATAATGCTTTTATTGTTCTTCTAAAGAAGATTTATTAGCAGAAGAAGTGTCAATAAACAGTTTGGTACAAATCTTTGGTGAAAAATGAGCTAACCTGAGGCTGGCATCTTTACTGGTATAGGGAAGTCTTGGGTGGCTTTAATCTTCTCAGGTAGAGGTGAGATGCCATCAGTGTTAATGTTGTACCCAAGGAAATTGATGTTGGAAGACCAAATTTGTCTAAATTGCTCCAGAAGACCAAATTTGTCTAAATTGCTCCAGAAGAAAAATTAGACAATTGCTGGATGTGTTATTTGTGTTTGTCAATTTTAGCAATATATACAAGGATCTTATTGATGTATATGTATGCAGATTGTAATCTGCACAGGACATTGTCAATAAGACATTGAAATGTCAGGGCATCTTTCCTTAAACTAAATAGCATTTTTTAAAACTTCATAAAGTCCAAATGATGTTATCATTGCCGTCTTGGGTATGTTGATGTTGACTATGGGGATCTGGTAATATGTTTTGGTGAGAGAGAGTTTTGAAAGTATGAGTGCATCCTGAAGTGCATATGAAGGACTGGATAATGGTCAGGAACAGTTTAAGAATTTAGTTTCCTGTGGTCTACAAATATTCTAAATTGTTGCTGTCCAATTTGTGGGCTAAGTGAAGTTTGGTTTGGTTGTTTTGTTTAACGGCATTCCAACCTTAGTTGTCACTTTATGCCGAAAATGATTTTGAGTGACTTTAAAAGAATCTTAAGTTAAATGTGTTTCTTGGTTTGAGTAGGCATCTTGAAGTAAGCAGCTTCATGGAGGTATATAGCTTGGTATATTTGTGTTTATTTCAATCTTTTCTAGATTTTGCTATAGAGACCAGTTTCTCTTATTGTTATACTGGAACACATCTATTCTATAGTTAATAGACTCTCCCACCTATAATAAGTAGGAGTAGTAATAGTAACAGTAATAGTAGCTGAGGGAGTGGGTCAGTCAGTCGATGCCGGAAGACCGTTAGTTGGATATTAAAGTATCAGCCACCACAACTAGATTTCTCTGCGTTATTACCTATTATATCAAGTTCCTAACGTTTTGTATGTCAACCTATTTTAGGACCGACTTAGTACAACTACAAGCATCCACTGTGAAACCACTCTATAACAATTACATATTCAAGCATTTTTGAAGGTTTTACTTGGAGGAATACTTCTTTCAGGTTTGTTTCTTTGTAGTACTTTTGGCGAGTTCGCTTCAAGTCTAAACAATTTGTCAAAATGTGACATACTGTATAAGCCTCCTGGCATGGTATACAGATTGGAGCTGCCTCCTTCTTAAGGAGGTAAGAATGGGTGATGCTCGAGTGGCCCATACGGAGTCTTGATAATGTTACTTGTTCTTTTCTAGTCATTTCACTGTAGTCATTTATTTCTCCAATTTGTTCCTTTATTGCATGTAATTTGTTATTGGTGTAATAATTCCATGATTCTTGCCATTTGTTCATTTGATGTTTGTTAATTGTTGCTATTAGGTCTGTGAAAGGAATTTTATCTTTTGAGGGTTCCAGTCCTAGTGCTTTTTTTGCTGCCTGATCAGTTCTGTGATTCCCCTTTATACCGATATGACTGGGTACCCAGCAGAAGACTATTTCTTTATTTTTAGTAATTACATCGATCCTGTTTAGGATTTTAATTGTAAAAGGGTTGTCTGTTTTCTATTTTCCAATGCAGTTAGTACTGAATTCTTATCTGTAAAGATGATGTGTTTCTTTTCTTTACTGTTTTCAATTATATTCAATGCCAGTTCTATGGCTGATGCTTCAGCACTGTAGATTGATGCTTTATCAGGAGTTTTTTTAATAGGTTGTCTTTGTTGTGCACTGCGGTACATGCAACTTTATCTCCAACTTTGGATCCATCTGTATGTATTTCCGTGTGGTTTTGGTATCTGTCTTTAATACTTTGAAGTTAATTGGGTTGGTTTTTGCTTTTAAGTACTTGATTAAGTCAAGTATTATTGTTGGTTGTTTTGCCAACCAAGGTGGGTATTTCAGGCTAACATATTTGTGAATTATGGATATATATATATCTATTTCGGCTTCATCTATAGCTTGTTTAGTTCATAGTCCATATGGTTTGATGGCCTTTTCTTTTTTTTCAAACAAAACTCTGTGTTGTGGCTGAAAGACGCACTTGTATGTAGGATTTGAGGGACATGATGCTAATTTGATGTAATATTGTAATGCCAATTTTCCTTTTCTCATTACCAGTGGTGGTTCGTGTGCCTCTACGTACAGGCTCTCGACTGGGGTAGTGGCAAATGCTACTATTACTAGTCTTAGCCCTTGGTGATGGATAGTGTTCAACTCTTTGATATATGATTTCCTTGTCGATCCATAAACGAAACAGTAATAATCCAGTTTGGATCTCATTAGTGTTCGATAGAGTTTCAGAAGTGTTTTTTATCAGCTCCCCAGTTTGTATGAGCTATGACTCTCAGTAGTTGGATAGATTTGTTACACTTTTTCCTCAGCTACTTAATATGGGGTATGGAAGTGAGGTTTTGGTCAAAGATAATACCGAGGTATTTATATTGTTTAACCCCAGTTATTGTGTCCTTACCAAGCTTCAGTATAGGATCATTATGCATTTTACAATGTTGGCAAAAATGCATGTACTTGGTTTTTCTCTTTAGAAAAACTAAATCCATTATTTGTAGCCCACTTATTAATTTTGTTTTAGGCTTAGTTGCAGTTGCCTTTCAATTGTGCGTATATATTTTGCCCTATAGCATATCATTAGATTGTCTACATATATGGCACATTCTGTTCCAGTATTAATGTTTTTAATTATGTTGTTAATCTTTATATTAAAAGTGTTACAGAGAGTATACTGCCTTGTGGCACTCCCATTTCTTGTTCTTTCCAAGCTGAAAGAGTATCTCCAAATTTTACCCTGAATTTTCTATCACTCATAAAATTTTTTATCAGTATTGGCATTCTGCCCTTCAGTCCCATTTCCTTCAAGTCTTTCATTATCCCATATTTCCTTGTTGTATCATATGCCTTTTCCAGATCAAAAAAAAAACACTGATATGATGTGTTCTTTTTTGGATGAAAGCTTCTCGTATGTATGTTTCTAATTTTACTATGTGGTCAATAGCGCTCCTCTTGTTTCTGAAGCCTGCCTGATGCCCTGTGATCAGTTTGTTTGTTTCAGATACCACACCAGTTTTTTTTTTTTTTCACCATTCTTTCAAAAGACTTACATACACAGCTGGTGAGTGCAATAGGGCAGTAGTTCATTGGATCCGTAGGGTTTTTGGAAGGTTTGGGCATAGGAATTATTGTGGCCTGTTTCTATATATTTGAGATTTTTCCAGTAGTCCAGATATCAATATAGATTTTGAGTAGGTATTTTTTTTGGTCCTTTAGGCAATTACTTTAGGAATTTGTAATGAATTTCACTGGGACCAACAGCTGTGTTATGTGCTTTTTTAAAGCGTCTTGTAATTCTGTTAACGTGAATGGTTGGTTATAGGTTTCAGAGTTATCTGAATGAAAATTGATTTCTTTTTTCTCCTCGCACTTTTTGATTGTTTGGAATTCTTTTTTTTGAGGATTGTTTGAGGAGGAGTTTTTAACAAAGTTCTCAGCTAGGTGTTCAGCTATGTCTTTTTTATTTGTAATTCTGGTGCCTTTGTGGGTGATATGTTGGTAAGGTTGTCTGTTGTTTTTCCCTAAAATTTTTCTAATCATCTCTCATACTTTTACTAACATATTGCTGCCATGATGATTGTTTAGCCTATTTAATGGTCCTGCATGCCTTAGCTCTATCATTTTTATAGACATCTAAATTTTCTTTGGTTGGACGATTTTTAAATTTCCTAAGGGATGCTCGTCTGGCTCTCACAACTACTTTGCATTGTGTGTTAAACCAGGGCTTATTGAATTTAGAAGAGGGTGAACTTTTGGGAATATTTTGTTCTGCGATTGTTTGTAATGTGTTTGTAAAGTATGTGATATCATCCTCTTTGTTTATATTTGCTTCTGGTGTCAATTTTCCTTGACATACATTTTGGAAACCTTGCCAGTCTGCTTTTGAATATTCCATCCAGGTGTTTTATTGTCCCTTTCTGGATCCTGGCCATCTAATATGATAGGGAAGTGGTCACTTCCACAGGTCTCATCATGTACTCTCCAGTGATAATTCATGTAAATGCTGGGATCACATATTGTTAAGTCAATGGCTGATAATGTTCCAGTTGCTGGGTGCAGATATGTATTAGCCCCGTTGTTATAAAAGGCATAAATTGGTTCTGATCTAAAAATTCTTCTATTATTTTTCCTCTTCTGTTTATATCCTTATTGCTGCACATTTCACTGTGACTATTAAAATCCCCCATCAGTATGAAGGGTTTAGGTAATTGTCAAATCAGTTCATTCAGATCTCTCTTGTCCAGTGTATCATTTGGAGGTAGGTATAGTGAGCAGAAAGTCACTGTTTTTGTAGTGTTACTAATACTGCAATTGCTTGCAGTTTTGTCTTTAATTTGATTTCGCTTTGAGTGATGTTGTTATTAACTATAATTGATGAGCCACCTGAGGCTCTATCTCTTTGATCATTTATGTAGTTGTATGATGTACATTTTTTAATGTGAAGTGAGTCTTTTGATTTTTGATGCGTTTCCTGTAAACATATGACTACTGGGCAGAAAATGGCAATGAGAAGCATCAATTCGCGATGGTTGACCTTCTCACCCCCTATGTTCCATTGGAGGATTCTGTAAGACATTTATTTTGAAAGCTGTTTTAGTTTGGGTGGTTGAGGATTCTGATTCTTGGTATCCATTGGCTCCAAGACTTCAAATTGGTTCTGTATTTGTTCATTTTTTTTTCCTGTGTATAGTCGAGGATTCTCTCCTTCGACATCCATTGATTCTAAAGCTTCGAACTTGTTTTGTATTTGCTTTTACTTTTTTTTTTTTGGTCGTGATTTGGATATGGATGGTAGTGTAGGTTCTTGTTTGGCAGAAAAAATTTTGTTATCGTTCATTTGGATTGGGTTTGTACCCTCAGATTTTTCTTCGATTACTTGTTCTTGTTGTTTGTTTGCTTTGAATTAGAAATGGATATTGCTATTGATTTTGTTGCTATTTCTTTGGTCCCTTCCACTTTGTTGAGCTGTTTTATGAGGGTGACTTTAGGTTTTGTTATAGCTGGTTTGATTTCTTGTATGAATCTAGGCCTGTTGTTTGGTCCCAATTGTAGTAGTTTCTCTACTAATGCCTCATATTTATCTTGTTTGGTTGTTGTTTCTCTTGCAACCTGTGAGTATGTTTTCCCTTTCATATATCCCTCCACTATTCTACGAGCCTCAGGGAAGGAGATATTTTTGGTGTGTTTCACGGTCATAATTTCTTTTTCTTTTTTGAATGCATCACATTCTCTTGAGTAGGAGGGGTGATCTCCTCCACAGTTTGTGCAATTAGTTGTTTCTCAACATTCATTTGTAAGATGGCCTGGGTCTCTTTGTCCACTTTTACCACATGCTGTTCGTCCACGGCATCCATCCTCATGGTGGCCAAATTTTTGGCAATTATAGCATCGAAGAGGGTTAGGGATAAATTGTTCCACCCTTTCTATATTATACCGAATCTTTATATCTTTTGGTATGATAGGTGTGTTGAAAGTTAAAATATATGTATTTATTTCTATCATTTTTCCTTCCCTTTTTTATAGAAACCCTCTTCGCATCAATTACTCCTTGGCTTTTTAGTTCTGTTTTAATTTCCTCAATTGTGCATAATGTGAGTTCCATGCTTTGCACTACTCCTTTAGAGGAATTTAATTTTTGATGAGGGTAGGCTCGTATTTTCATATTATGAAATTTGGTCATTTTCAGGAGGAAGGTGGCATGTTTCTTCTCTACCCCTAGTAGTGTTCCGTTTCGAATGCTCTTCACTGTTTTAGCGGGAACATTGGGGGATATTACTTTCTGTATCAGAAAAGGGATAATTTGGTCAATGGAGTTTCTTCCATAGATTCTAATACTATGAATCTGGAAAAGTTTTCCATAATGTTATAGTCCTCCTCAGAGTCAGAATCCATATGTGGTTTCTTAATGGATTCATTGGAAATTAATTTGCCTGAGGGGTTTTGTTTGTGTTTGTTTTCCATTTAAATGTGTCATCTGATTTTTTGACTGTGCTCCTCACCCACCTATCCATGTCAGAGCCCACAATTGGGATCTGTCAAGGGGGAAACCCTATTGCCTTGACGGATCAGGGACTACACAATCAGTATACTCATCAGTGAGAGAGACCCAGAGCACCTGTCATATCACCTTGCTCACCACCCCATAACATCAGTGT